GATTAAATTTGGGGCAGATCCCTCCTGCGTGGAAAGCTCTTTGCTCACACATGCACATCTTCCAGTGTTCATATGCCACGCTCCAGAGACCCTGGGCAGCTGAGAGAGCCCCCAAAAGTCTCCGGTAGCAACAGTCATGGAGAGCCACGTGTCTTGGAGACAGAGAGAAAGAGAAAGAATGGGAGACTAAGACAGAGGGAGAGGAAGCAAGCACAGGACTCTTAGGGGGCTCTGCAATTTGAGCGCTGTCAGAGAAGATGCACAGTGGTTTTCTTGAAGAGTGGAAAAACTGGGGATGTGGTACTGCGTGACTTTTCCGGTTCTTTGGCTTGCATGGTACTCTTAATTAAACAGTTACTTTTAGAGAGAAATATTAATCAAAGGATTCCTTCTTCTGGGCTGCAGGGTATTTTTATCAGTTTGGGATATTAGAGAAACACTTTGTTTCAGAACTGCTGCTGTAGGTTTGTTTCATCTGGGAAACAAATTGACAGTCATGGACAGAGACAGAAACACCAACCAGCACAGACATCTAAGGGACTGTGTTGGGAGTCATTTTTAAATATAAATGCTGAAATGAAAACTCCCCACAGCTACAACATGGTTTAATTGTGATGCAGTCTTTAAACATGTGGACTTATTCCAGAGCATTTCTGACAAAATGATGAACATAAGTGTTTTCAGTCCTGTCGAAAAACAGACAAGGATCACAGATCAGATCTGATCAATTTCTCCAGTAAAATATTCAGACCTTTACTGCTGAACTTGCTCAAAAGCAGAGACATTGTATGGTCCATTTATCGGGTCCTAGAGTGGCTATGCTACTCTAAGACAACATAGCCACTCTAAGAGTGTTAGTGTACAAAGCCAACATTAACACAGAGTCAATGCATTATAAATGCAGGGCCTCTCCCCATTATTAGCAGTTAATATTGTACATACACTCACCTATCATAATAATTACGTTCCTTTAAAGACATCATTTTTTGTGTGTGGAATGAAGATACAATAAAGACTAAGTGCTTCAAAACTCTTTTTTTAAACAATTGGGTTTCCTGGCATACTTTATTTATTTGAATTCAATTCAGTTTGCTTATTTCAGAACCAGTTTGATGAGTGTTGTTCAATAGAAACCCTAATTGTAGACATCTGACCCAAGCTGTCGCCCTCAGAGGAAAGTACAATGATTCCGATGTTCAGGAACAACACATGAACCACCACGGGTCAAGCCTGCTAGGAATCTGAAACTGCTGAGCATGAGCGTTTCCGGCTTAATATCAGCATAGAGTGAGAAGGTATCGACCAAGAAGTAAGTTGCTGCTCCAAAATAGATTTATTAAAGTTCGACTGAACTTATGGCCCTTTTCCCACTAGTAACTACTCCGCGTGGCTCAACTACACTCAGTTCTAATGCTTTTCCAGTAGTAACAGTTGCGTGGTATCAAAGCCTTCCCCCTTTCTCTTCCCTCTCTAACCCTATAACCGACTTCACTGTTGGTTCCAAGTGAGCAGAGTCGGGCTGAAAATGTGAAAATGTGAAAATGTGAAAACCTCTTCAGTGTTTTGTCTAGCCTCCCTGAAGAATAAGAGAAAGCTTAATGGATAAACAGCAAGCTTGTGAAAGGGCGATAACCTTAACCCCATCCAAACAGTTTTACCTGCGGTTGGTATCTGTTCTGAGAAACCCAAATGATCTCCCTATTACCAATAAGAGAGGTCCAGTCACAATTATTCCAGAGGCTTAAAAGTGGCTAAAAATAAAGTGATTTATTTCACTGTAACTTAGGAACGTGTTACAAAATACCAGGTGGAGTGTATGTAAATATTTTAGCATGTATTTATATTTTTGATCCTTAGTGGATTAGAGAATTTTGCCACGAAAGATTCAAACATCAGAAGTAAGATTTTCAGTTTGAAGTTGTTTGCTGTGAAGTCATTCCACTGTGAAAAGATAATGCCAAATTAAAGACCTGATATTAATATGTCATTACCGCCTACGGTTGTTTGTGTAAACCTAACTGAATTACTGTAATACTCTCTTGGTTACACAAAGATACCATTTATTTCCGCAGTTCAACAGTGAGCTATATTGTTCTTCTCACTATGCATCATGGGAAGGTAAACTTGGATTTCTCATCTAGGTTTTTTTTTGTTTTGTTTTGTTTTTTTTTGTTTTTGTCACAGTTCCAGTGATTCCAGAGTTTGTCATTGTTGCTCTGACAGCAGGTTGGTTATGAGAACAGTCACTGAGATTTTGTTCCCATTTCCTGACCGCTGACGTCTCCAGCCAGAAAATCAACATGAATCCTTTTCTTGAGTCACTTTTCTCAGTTCTCCTATTTTGTCTTGTCAGTTTCATTCCACCATTGATAGATTACGTAAAAAGTTTTACAGATTTACCGATATGTGGATGAGGCTTCATGTATTTTGCTTTTATTTGACTCCATTGACAGGTTGCCTCACTTATGTGAGCCTGCGTGTCATTGCAAAATTCTGTCTTGTTTCATCTCGGCATTGTTTGCTCCCGTAGGGCCATAAATAATAAGTCTGGAAGGATGCAATTATGTTCACCAAGAGGCAATTTCCTTTAATGTGATTCTATCTGAGAAGATGCACATCAGAGTCTGTGGCTCCTTTCAGCTGCTAAAATTACAATCACTCTAGATTTTATTTGTTCTTGTGGAGTAACACGTACATGTGCTGTTAAGTCATCTCGCTTCATGGCAATGTATTGACCGTCTTGTTTTGTTTAATTGAACATCCTTGTTTTTGTGAATTTTTTGGTCTTCTTTCTAAGGAAATGCCACTTGGATTCTTTCAGGGTGCAGCGTTAGAACTGTTTTTCACCTTCCTGTCACTGGTACCGCTCAGCTAGCTGCAAACAGCTCACTTTGACATTTTCATTGTGTTTTTACAAAGACTGCAGGTATTCCTCTGTGAAGCCAGATAGAAACAGCCCCTGTCTCCTAGTACCATGAAGATTATATATATATATATATATATATATATATATATATATATATATATATATATATATATATATATATATATATATATATATATATATATATTGCTTTGTGATCAGCCATCTTGTTGTCTAAGAGTACCTAAAGCTGTTCTTTGGCAATAAAAGCCTGCTTATACTGGTTATGAAAACATAGTTTTTTTTGTATTTTGTTGCAGTGTACACATAGGTAAGTTAAATTATATGAATTACAATAAGTACGTAACTAAAATCTCACTAACTTTGCGGATTTAAATGGGATGACAGGCATTTTCTTCACTGAAGTGCACAAATGAATTTGAAAATCTCCCCCAATGGAAGTTTTTGATGACACAATTACAATAACTCAATTATGTCTACTGAGTCATGAAATTGATTGATTTTATAAAGCACAGTGGGAAAATTGCGCCTCAAATAGACACAAAGTCTCTAAACATTTGAGACTGCAAATACAATTTGAGGAACCACAAATGTCTGTTGCTCCTCTAGTCAGCAAATTTGAGATTCAACACCTTAAAGAAAAATAAATGTTAGAAATGTTAAATGTTATTGTTAGACCATAGATAATTATTTTATTATTTTGAGATCCACTTTGACAAAAGCTGATCTTCCCGAAGCAGGAAGCCATGTCTTTCTGTCTCAACAAATAGATTTTACTTAATTGGTGTTTATACCAACAGTAAAGCATAATTATGAAGCAAAACATAACAATGTTAAATTTTTTACAAATTAAAATCTGGCTGCCTCTATTCTTAATCAAATCAACAATAATGAGTTGACTTGAGAAGTAATCTACCGGTAATTAATAAGTAAGGACCACTTGTGTGTAATCTTACTCCAAACCTCTAGGGGGGGTGGGGCAGAGGGCAGGTGAATTGAGTCTCAATGGAAAAAACCCAATATTAAAATATACTATGCAGTTCTGAAACACTATGCATGAAGGCAAAACTGTGTTACTGTCATTCAAATGCAGGATATATTAACTTTAGGTTCAGTTTTACAGGCTCACTCCTGAGAGCAGAGCATTGTACAGATGCTGGAGTGTTAATATTAGTGTGGATGCAGCTAAACACAGGGAAGTCCTTGGAAAATAGTTCAGTAAGTAGTTCAGGAGTAGGAATAATTTGTTTACATAAAAGCACACTGGCAACATTTTGTTAGAATTTATCAATTTAAAACATTTTCTGAGAGAAATACAATCAGTATGTCTGGCCATGGCCATACAGATATGTTCATGAAGGTCCAGCATGCTACTCAGAAAGAGCAGCATAGAAATATGAAAACTTGCATAATTCTTTAAGAGGGCATGCTCTGCTTATGCTCAAAGATCAATTGAGACAGACAGCTTAATTTTCTTTAAACATTACCAATGTCAAAGTGTATTGGACCTGGTTAATGCTAGTTAAATCAGCCAGTTAAGTAAATATTCTGTTAAAAAGCTTTTCGTGCAGGAGGAAGGATTTAATTCTGCTAAAATTATACAAAATGAAATAAGATCTATTATAAATGATAGGCACCTGCTCCATTATAAATTATAGTTTTGGTTATTAACAAAAAAAGTAATAATTCTTTTGTAAAAAGATTATAATTTTTGAAGTTTTACAATTGTGTGACTTAAACTGATGTTCTGTACTTTTCCAAATGTTCATTAGACTGCTGTTACAATAATGAGATTGAATTAGTTCATTTGTTGGTGGGCAGCAGTGTGCAACAAATTGGCTGCCAGCAATCTTTTACATGTCCCCCACTTTTATGGATTTAAGCAGATTTAGACATCAGGTTGTCTTTGTGACAAGGAGACATTTTTCTGTCAGGTTTGTTTGTGTTTCAGTGGTTATGTAAGGTGCCATCTTAATATACATCCCAGTTGTTCTGTAATTGGAAGAGTAACAAGACATCGCCATTTATGTAAACCGTACTTCGTTCCAAACCAAACTTGGTTCGTTGCAAAGTGTTTTTCTTTCCTAATTTCACTTTATTTATTTTTTTCTTCTAGGACTTTGGACTGAAAACACTCACTGTGATAACTTCCAGCTAAGACAACAGATTTTGGCTGTGAGTATGCCAGAAGTAGATCTCCCTTGTGTTTGACTATACCATTTGAGATTTTCAAATATATGAGAAAGAAGAAATGGATAGAAATTTACTCACCCCATAAGAAAGAGCCACAGTTATTGCTGTGACTGTCCTTTTTTTTTTTTTTTTTTTTACTGGGGACAGATCACTGCACATTGATACCCACCTTCATCCTCTGCAGAAATCCAGCCTACATATGTGCCCTTACTGTCCACTGATGTCATGGCCCAGTTGGCAGACAGTCCATGGCTGGATGCTTTCTGAAGCTGTCCAACAATATAACACTCTTATGAGCTGTAGGGTTGAAGCAGCAACTGGCCTGAGAGGCAGATCTTCTTGAATTTTGTTTAGAATTGAGATACGATGGAAGGTTTTTTTAAACTTCACACTGATTTACTCCATGTTTTCCCATGCACATCCGATATTTATGTCACAAATCAGCTGAATGTAAATTGATTTGAGTTTGGTGCTCGGTCACATGTTGTAGGTTCGACTAGATGTCAGAATGAAGCATGGGCTGAGTTTTCCCATCTGTTCTTAAATAAAAAAAAAAGAGGAGGCAGCCAACTGCAGTGTGAACAGAGCAGGAAAGGCGTGCTGAGGATGAAGGAGCAGCCCAGTGTGAACAAGCATGATTTAGTGTTAGATTTGCTCTTTATACGCCATGCTTCAGCATTTCCCCCACTCGCCAGCACTCAGTTGATTAATCCCAGTCATTTTTATGAGTGATGTAAGCGTGAGTACCACAGCGGCTACAGAAAGCTAATAAAACCTACTGGAAAACATCAGTGCCTGGAAGGGCAGTTATGGGCTGCTGCTTTGAAACTCATTTAATTCGTCTCTCTCTGCCCTCTGCCAGCCTCATTAATACTAACTTTAGTTAGCTCAAAATCTATTCAGAGACATTCCCTACATTGGAGGCTGCTGTTGAAATCTGATATTTACATACTCAGCATGAAGACATAATCCTTTTCCTCACTGTCGGACACTGAAGCATGCTAGACCTTTTCTGTGTTGGGATTGTTCAAGTCACCCAAATTATTTCTGTTGTCTGAATATCAAAACACCCAAAGAGAGCTTGCATTGTAGAAAGTCATAATTTCAATACATTTCTACAGTATTTGGTACAATGGCCAGTTAAAAAGAAAACCTTGGTTAGTTGCTTTGGTTCTCCTCCCACAAGCTTCTCTATTTAGTTTGCTGGAATTTTGGTCTATTCCTTCAGACAGAACTGCTGTAACTGAATCAGACTTTGTTCACACATTCGTTTTCAGCTTTGCCCACAATTTTTCTAAAAGACTGAGATTAGGGTTCTAAAATGGACACCCCAAAATATCTGTCTTTATCATCTCTTAGTCACATTATAACTAGTTTGACTGTATGTTTAGGTGACTTCTCTATTTGGATGACAATTTCTGTCCAAGCTTAACTTTTTTGGCCGATGTCTTGAGATGTTGCTACAATATTTCCATGTTTTGTACTTTTTTGTACAACAGGCCATTATGGAACAAAGAAAAAAAAAAAAAAAAAATTAAATCCCTGTTTAAAAATATTTGTTAAAACTGTCACTATTTTGTGATGTGGTACAATAGTGACAAAAACTTAATTAGATAATATTGAAACCAATGAAATTTGAATTACAAGTAAATTGAAACAAAAAAATTAACATAACTAAAGTAGGATTTATATTTAAAATGTAGATATTAGTCATATCTATAGTACATTCTTATCTACTAAAACCTAAGGTAAAATTTTTGGGTACATCTGGCTTGATGTTATGAACAATTTCAAGATCAAATCCACCTCCTGCACTCTCGCCCGATGCTTTTTAAAAAGCAGCTTTGGGGCTCATTATGGAGGCGACAGCAGCAGTGAGGTTTCCCTCTCACTCTTCCTGATCTGAATGAGCCAACATGATGAAATGCACAGCATCGCATTATTGCGTCACCTCACGTCTGCCACAACCAGGCAGAGAAACAGAACCAGATCTAATGCTAAACTGCCACTGTGGCATGCAATATTTATCATGGCTACATGAAAGCAGCAATCAGTGAAAAGATGGTGCAGATGGAACAGACTCACACAGCTTTCTGTTTGCAAGCCTAACCTCCTCTGATAAACAGCACCAGTCCTTTTGTGTGCAAATGCAGCTCCAGTTCTCATGTTACTTATGATGAAAATAAGCATTAGAGTTTCTTTTTGTACTTCCTTTTACCCCATTTTGGTTAGGATTTATTACAGCCTCCATGAAGTAGATCATACATAAGCAAGAGGAAAGGTTTTACGGAGATAGGCACATGCAGCATCCCAAGAACATGCAGAAAGGGAAAAGTTAAACTATGCAGCCTGAAGGACACAACAGGAAGATAGAGTGGCTTTCAAACACGTACACACCGCTGTTAAAATGCCTGGATTGTGTTGCCCAGGAGCGTGGACCTTCATAAATCATTTCAAACGTTTTGCCACTTTTATAGTGACATACGTCCTGTTCCAAGGGAACAGGAAAACAGATGAATGTGTTACATGAAAATAATGTTAAACATAAAATACAACCATAACCTGGTTTGCATAAATACAGGCGCTATAAAACAAATGTTTTATTGAAATGCCTTATAAATCAGATTCTGCAATAAGCATTTTTAGGTTTTACAGCAGTGATGGTGCTGCTGCGATAGTTGGGGAAAACATTGGACAAAAAAGGACGTACTCAAATACTGACGAAAAGGAAGGCTTCCAAGAGGCCGACAATGGCAAAAGTACTTCTAATAAATACTTGCATTATAAAATGTGCCGAATTTATCCCTTATTCTCCATAGGTTTATGAATTTATAGAGTAGGGTTGAGAGACAGAAGTCCAATTTTCCAGAGAAAACATAAAAAAATCTGAAAATGTTGTTGGAATATGTCAATGTCAAATTTATTTATATAGCACTTTACAACAAGTATAAAACTGCACCAAAGTGCTGTACAAAAACAACAACACAAATGACAAAACAGAACACAAAACAATACAATTAAATGCCAAAGAGTGAGTTTTAAGAAGAATGAGTTTTAAGAAGCGATTTAAAATGATCCAGGCTGTGGGCAGATCTAATCTGGAAAGGTAAGTTATTCCATAAAACAGGAGCAGCAACAGAAAAAGCTCGATCTCCTTTCCTCTTAAGTTGAGTTCGAGGAACTGTAAGTAATAACTGATTATTTGATCGTAAAGTTCTGGACACAGACTGGAAATTTAAAAGGTCCCGAAGATAAGGAGGGGCTAACCCATTTAAAACTTTAAAAGTTAACAAAAGAATCTTAAAATCTATACGATGGCATGGTCTAATTAAACCCAACTCAAAGCTTTTGGCCCCAATTTCAACAGTTTCAACACTGAAACAACACTGCAAGTTATCACAAGAACATAGACTGTAGTAACACATGGTGGTGGCAGCATCATGGTTTGGGGTGGGGCTCTTCTTCTGAAGGTTTTGAAAGCTAAAGATTTTTCATTTTTCAGCATTGCAGGGAATCCAAACATTCACCCAAAATCAACATAATTGCTACCTGGGGGGAAATGTAAAGTTTTGGAATGGCTAAGTAGCAGTCTAGAAATAAATTTGATGGAAGATGTCCTCGAGGCTTAATATTCTTGCATTTTTTTTCTGGTCTTCAGAAGTGAGATTCTGGGAGATGCATTCATGTCAGTGTAAGTAATGCACAAAAAACATACGGTGCTATACGTCATTTTCTTTCAAAACTCAGAGTGGTGCATTTTAATGGCTTCACAGTCAGCTTTTGATACATGCTGCATGTGTGCTTTATTAAATATGTATTCCAGCTTTCACTGAATCTCTCTGGAGGCTTGGCCTGTTTAGTTTGAAGTCAAGTCTGATGGATTTTTTTTTCTCCTTCCTTTACTCCTTACTTGATGAAATTGTGCTGATAATTATTGGATTATCCATACATACATTTAGTATCTGCTGAAGTGGCAGTGATAAGCAGCATAAATCTATGTCAAGAATAAAAGTATTAGCCTCATGTCTCTACAAGTCAGTGCTTCTGTGCGCCTCCTGCATGATAGAAAAGGCACCAGCGCCGGTCACGATGGGTTTATCCAACAAGCTATGAATCTTGGTTGGATCAATACTCTGTTCCCACTCAGCCACTAAAACAAACCTGCCAGGGCTTCAGGGCGACAGACTGCAAGAAATGTGTTACTCTGACTGCACAAAAAAAAAAAAAACACGAGTCTGAGCAAAATGACCAGAGTTGTTTATGAGTTAAACATTTTGGTTGCAGAAAGAACAATTACTGTTAATGCTTTGGGTGCACATTGCGAATGAGTTTGACTTGCTCTTTTTCACTGTTATATAAAACAATATGGAGGTGTACTGCTGCAGAGAGATCAGAGGCATACCCTGTCAGGATGTCTCTCAGTTCTGTCTCACAGATTTTAAAAGTAAGACGTAGAACTTCTGACAAGTCAACTAAAAAGTCACAAACCAGGACAACTCAGCCGTATAATGCTTAACCCACATGACATGTGTTTTAGAATAATGTGAAAAATGAAAGAATTCACCTTTTTGTTTTGAAGTTCTTTGAGGTCCCTTTTGATGCATCAATAACAAAATCTAACCTTACCCTCCAAGTACAAAGTGGGCCCCTTTGCACAAAAATTGGGCTAAAATGTGACACTTTTTTTACTTGTAAGGGGTGGATTTTGGTGAAAAACACATTATTTGAATTTAATTTGTTGACAGTTTGTAGAAGTCTATGCTTCTGGAAAGTTTGGCTTTCAAAAATGTTACCATCAAAGCTCTCCTGGGGAGCCATCCAACCATCTCAATAGATCTGTTTAAAACAAAATCTGCTCCAACACTCGAATAACACATGTTCAGCTCATTAGAAAACATAAAAGTCTCAAAAACATGACTTCCAAACAAACACTTTTTTGTTTATGCCTCATAAATAGATTTGTTTGCTGCTCTGAGGCAACT